TGGTAAACTGTGGTCAATGACATGAGACAAAGTATATGTGAACTGCTGTATGTAAAGTGAATTTGCTCTGTAAATCTTCACCCAAATCACAATTAAAAAAAAAAGAAAGAAAAATGTATTTTAATTGCCAACCCATTTCAAGTTTAAATTGTGTAAAGTCAGTAATCTTATGGTCCATAAGAACACGTGCTTTTTATATATGAGTATTCTGTAGTTTTGCCACTGGTTTGTTGAACTTGGGGAAATAATTTAAATCTGTTATTCTTTCACTGTTGAAGACTTTGAGATGTTCAGAAAGTATTCTTTATTTCACAAAACTGAAGAATGATGAGGGAGCTCTGGTAGCATAGTGCCTAAGGCACTTGACTGCTAACCAGAAGGCTGGCTGTTCAAACCCATCAGCCACTCCTCAGAAGGAAGGTGGGGCAATCTACTTCCATAGTGATACTGCCTCGGAAACCCAAGGAGGGGTCACTATGAGTCGGGTCCGACTTGACAGCACATAACAACAACAACAACAACAAAGAATGATGAAGATCATTTTACTAAGGGTGTAATTTCATAGTTTTAAAATTTGCTTTGTATTTATTTAATGTAAAGCTGTGACTAGGCAAGTAACTCCAATAATAAAAACAATTATTTTGTAGGTATTCACAGTTTTATACGGAAGACAGCTTTTGCCATTATAATATGTTCAACCATCATTTCTTTGATGGAAAGGTAAGAGTTATGACCATTATCTCTTTCTTCTTTTATTGTGGAATAACCAATTCAAGGATACCATTTTTTGTTATTTTTCTCAGTTTCCTCGAAATCAGATTGTTACTATTCCATCATTTATTTATACTTGCTTTTATTAATTCACCGAGTATTTATTGAGGACCTAGCAGTGATCATGTTAGTCCCCTATCATGACTTCCCACATTGTTCCAAAACCCATGCAGCTCTGTGTGATCTGAGTTGCTTATTCTCTATCCACTCTTACCTTCTCCCCTTTTTGCTGTGCTTCCATCTGGAACTGATCAGGTCTCTCTCGTATCGCCTTTGCCCATATGTTCTCTCTGCCTTCTTCTTTCTTGTTGCCTTGTTTACTTGTCATCCTCCAGAACTCTGTTCAAGCGTCACTTCATTCAGCATTCCCCAACCCTGACAAGGTCAAGTTCTCCTTTGTAGATTTGCTGTTGTTAGTTGCAATGAGTTAACTCTGACTCATGACGACCTTCATGTGCCAGAGTAGAACTGTCCCATAGGGTTTTCATTGGCTGTGAACTTTCAGAAGCAGATTGCCAGGCCTGAAGCACATCTGAGTGGGTTTGACCTGTGATCTTTGGGTTAGTAGTCTAGCATTTAACCATTATGCAACCTTTACCGCATTGTAATTAAATAATTTGTTCTGTGGTTAATTGTTGGGTGTGCCTTTCTCTTACTGGTAAATAGCACGTCCCAGTTAAAAAGGTTTATGATTTTGTTAAACTGATCTTTGAAAAAAATGGACAAGTGGCTTAAAAATAGTTTATTTCAATACAGTGTTAGTAATGTCACTGCAAATACATGACGTAGTGGAGCTGATACTTTTACTCCTAGTTGAGCTCTTTGTCAGATCTATTACAAAATAAAAATTGCAGCCAACCAGGCAATCATATCTGTCTGGAAGTCTACCGAAATGCTTTGAAATGATCAGGACTGGTTGAAGCATACCTGTAGATACATGTGTTTATATCTACGTTTTGAACTGTGAACCATGCCCTAAGTATATATTGAGCTTTGGGTTATTAGCTAATGATAAAATGAGATCATTATTCATAAGACTGAAAAACTGAGCATTCAGGAAATGAAAACAAGTCCTGAATTGGTGGTTGGAAGTGAAAAATAAGTTTTCTCCATCAGTAAGTACAGCCATAGATATATTCCTTTCCTTTGAATCAGTTTAGCATCAAGATATATATGTTTCAGCCATGATAGCTATTAAAACTAAATATCAAAATAAACAATTAGGATTAGATGTATTTCACCATTTCCCAAAAAGTCTATGGGATTGATAATCACTAGGATTTCAGATCAGTGAGAGTGAAGAAGAGCCAAAACCAAAAAACAGACTCACTGCTATTGAGTCAGTTTGACTCATAACGACCCCTCCTTGGGTTTCCGAGGCAGTATCACTACAGAAGTAGATTGCCCAACCTTCCTTCTGAGGAGTGACTGGTGAGTTTGAACTGCCAGCCTTCTGGTTAGCAGTCAAGTGCCTTAGGTACTAGGCCACCAGAGCTCCTTGAAGGAGAGAGGGAGTGGGAAATCACTTGGGAAGAGATGATGAGAGACCACTCCACTCAGCTGGGACTGTGGCAGCGGGGTGGGGTTGGGGGGCAGGAAGAGGAAAGAAATGGATTCTGTAGGCATCTCCCAAAGTCAACAAGAAGACTTAGGGTAAGGTATAATGGGGAGAAGTCAAGGATGATTTGGCAGCATAGCCAGGGTATGTATTGCACTCCTCAAAACAGGGTAAGAACGTTTAGAATGTAGCTTGGAAATGCTGAATTTTGGGGGCTTGTGGGATGCTGATATGGAGGTTTCCAATAGAGCCATTAGCATGCTGGGCCCTTGTTTCAGGGGTGAGATCAGAACTGGTGACACAGGACAGTAGGAGGTACTCAAGTTTGTATTACTACTCCATGCTGTAGTGATGGGCTGGTGATTATTTTTTAAAGTAATATATATCATTAAGCTTTTTATTTTGGAAAAAGAAAAGGAAGAGTAAAATTACATTTAAATACCTAATGATTGGCTGCTGATTTTTATATATTTTGAAAAGGTAATATGTAATTAACCTCTTTGTAGAAAATTCTGAATAACATTTGTGGTAGTTAAGGTTGTGTATCACCTTGGCTGGGCCTGGTTGAGTGTCTGGGCAGCTGGATGTAGTTATTCCCTGTCGTGAGACTGACAGTCAGCTCCATGGTGGAATCTACTGGAGCAGCTGAGTAGCTGCCTTAGGGATGTGGTCTGCTTCCAGTAGATAATCAGCAGCTTTGAGGAAAGTCTCTAGTTCTTTGGTATGTTTGGATCCTGCATGTAGCCGAGTCATTGTTCAATACCCTGGCATGCCATGCTGATCTTGGGACTTTTTAAAGGACTTGATTCAATGGCCTGCCATGTTACTTGGTAGTATTGGAATGATGCCTTTTTACTTGTCAGCCTGGGGTTTGTCAGCCTCAGCAGCCAGCAGCTGCCTGAGTGAACAGATGCCTCTAGCGTTAGTGGGCTGGAAGCAAGAGGCAGAGCTGAAGCCCAAGGTCAAGGGCTTTTCATCTAGCCCCTAAAGCCTGGCACTTTGAACTCAGACTTCTAGCCTCCAAAACTGGCAGAGAATAAACTCCTATTTATTAAAGACATCTCATTTGTGGTATTTTCTGTTAGAGAGGCACTAACCCAAAACCCACTGCCGAGAATGAACTTCTGTTTGTTAAAGCCATCCCATTTGTGGTATTTTCTGTTAGAGAGGCACTAACCCAAAACCCACTGCCGAGAATGAACTTCTGTTTGTTAAAGCCATCCCATTTGTGGTATTTTCTGTTAAGAGAGGCACTAACCCAAACCCACTACCATCAAGTCAATTCCAATTCATAGCGACCCCCATTGGGTTTCTAAGGCAGTAAGTCTTTATGAAAGTATATTACCCAGTCTTCCTTCTGGGTAGTGGCTGGTAGGTTTGAACTTCTAACTTCTGGTTAGCAGTCAAATACCTTAGGCACAGCTCTACCAGAGCTCCTTAGAGAGGCACTAGGTAACCAAAACAACATTATTGAAAGTTTATAGAATGACTGTAAGTTAGTAGAATAACTGTTAGAATCAGCTGCAAAGACTGAGATTTCACTTCATCTTCACTAGAAGAAAACAGCCGTCTGGCTCTGGCTTCTCTCTCTCCATCTCCCTGTCTCCCTGTCTCCCTGTCTCCCTGTCTCCCTGCCTCTCTGTCTCTCTCTCTCTCTTTCTCAGAAGCCCCATCTCAACAGCACTGCAGCCATATTGACTAATACACAGAGAACTAGCATTATAATGATTTTAGTATCTCCCTCTTCCTACTTACTCCCCGAGTCAAGATTTTCAGTTGAGATTTACCATCTACTAATTAATCCTCGGAAAAAAAACTCCTCGGAAGGAAGGTTGAGCAATCCTACTTCCGTAGTGATACTGCCTCGAAAACCCAAGGAGGGGTCGCTATGAGTCGGGGCCGACTCGACGGCACATAACAACAACAACAATTAATCACTAGGAGCTCTGGTAACATAGTGCCTAAAGCACTTGACTGCTAACCAGAGGGCTGGTGGTTCAAACCCACCAGCCACTTCTTGGAAGGAAGATGGAGCAATCTACTTCCATAGTGATACTGCCTTGGAAACCCAAGGAGGGGTCACTATGAGTTGGGTCCAACTTGACGGCACATAACAACAATTAATCACTAAATAAGTATCTACTAGGTGATGCAAATGGTTAAGCTCTTGACTGCTACTGAAAGGTGGCATTACAAAATGAACACAATTTTTGTTTGTTCCAGGCTGCCCTTGAAGAGTGCAGAACATTTTTACAGGAAGATAAAGGCAAAGGAGTCATTATGGTGACAGATCCTCCTTTTGGCGGCCTGGTTGAGCCTCTGGCTGTTACATTCAAGAAGTTAATTGCTCTGTGGAAAGAAAGTCAAAGCCAAGGTGATTTATTATTTACTGAAAAATAAACATGCATCTACTTCCTGTCAAATATTAGCAGCACCCCGTGAGTCAGAGCACCAAGGAAGTACACATGCCTAGAGTGTGTGTCATTTTTTAAACAGGCTTATTTGATTATGTGGCAGACTTCATTATCATGAGACACTTGGTATTATCCTATCATGTATTTTAAAATGGCTTGTAGGTAAAATACTTGTTTTGGTGGGGATAGGGAACATTATGAAGGATGGCAGTGAACTGTTGCCATTCATTTAGTGAATATTTACGGAGTGTTTAGGAGCTGGCAGTAGAACAGTGAACAAAACAGACAGACATCTCTGCCTCACATTCTCTGTGCTTCTAGTCGTGCCCCAAACTTTTAAGTGAGCAAACAGCCATTGGGCCAGAGCTCTCAACTTTCCCAAGATTTTGGGTATAGAGATCAGACATCAGTAGCCTAAAAGTGGTTCCCATTAACACATAGATACTCAGCCCTGTAGATGGCTTCATGCCCTTATGTTATACTTCAGTTTAAAGTGGCTTAGAACCTGAACGTATTTTATATAATTACCTAGTTATTCAGTGCAATCATTTTTTCAAAATAGAGTTCCTAGTTTGCAAAGTGATAAGTTATAAGAGTGTCAGGAGATAGGTAATCAGGCTTCCCTATTAAGTGCACGTAAGTAATGTACATTGAGGATAGAATGCAAACAAAATCTGAAACATGACTCATCTTACTAAATATTTCATTTGCTGTTCCAAAGTCTGCTCTGAGGACTAAAGTGCACCTGATGCAAGCCATGGTATTGTCATTCGCCTCATGGCGTGCAAAAGCTGGACAATTAATAAGGAAGATTGAAGAATTGATGCCTTTGAATTATAGTGTTGGTAAAGAGTATTGACTATACCATGGGCTACCATGGAAGCAGCAATGAAGAAAAAAAAATAACATTCTGTTAGGCAGATCTGCTACACACAGCTTCTTTAAAATGCTTAGGGGCAAAGATGTCACTTTGCAAAGTAAAGTGTGCATGACCCAAGCTATGGTATTTTCAGTAGCCTCATATGCATGTGAGACCAGGACAATGAATAAGGAAGACCGCCAAAGAACTGATCCATTTGAATTGTGGTGTTGGCAAAGATATTGAAAGTACTGTGCACTGCTAGAAGAATGAACAAATCTGTCTTGGAGGAAGTACAGCCCGAATGCTTCTTAGAAGTGAGAATGGCCAGAGTACGTCTCTGATACTTTGGTCATGTTGTCAGTAGGTACCAGTCCCTGGGGAAGGATATCAGGCTGATTAAAGTACAGAGTCAGCAAAAAAGGGGAAAACCCTCAATGAGGTGAGTTGGTGAGTTGAGACATTGGCTGTAATGATAGGTTCAAGCATGGCAATGATTGTGAGGATGGCACAGAGCCAGGTACTGTTCCATTTTGTTGTACATAGGGTCACTGTGAGTCAAAAACGACTTGATGGCACATAATAACAACAACAACAAGAGTGAACACATCTGTCTTGGAAGATGTACCATGAGAGTGCTCCTTAGAAGCAAGGATGGTGAGACTCTATTTCACACTTTTTGGACATGTTATCAGGAGGGACCAGTCCCTGGAGAAGGATATTATGCTTGGTAAAGCAGAGGGTCAGTGAAAAAGAGGTAGCCCCTTGATGAGATTTCACTCATTGACACGGTGGCTGCAGCACTGGGCTCAAACT